AAAAAAAAAAAAAAAAAAAAAAAAGAAATTAATAAGCGAAAGAGCGAATATCACATCCATGGTTGCAAGTAAGCGTACGCTACTGAAGGCTCGGCAGTTTTTCGCGCGGAGGTAGTTGGACTTCTGTTTAGGGGACTAGGCATAGCTAGCCTTGATCGTGTCTAGTGTGTCAATGTGCTCGACAATGTCGATTTATTTTCCCGGGCGAGCCAGCGAGATTCACGTGAGGGTATGTGTGTGTGGGCAGTCTGCAGAAACAGGTCAGCGTTATGAGTATGAACTTGAGTGCCAAGCTGGACGAGCTGCAGCGGGGTGACCGCCAGCTGGAGACCACCGTCGCCCTCTGCGAGATCCGCACGCAGCTGCAGGAACTCACCAAGAGCGTAGAGTCTTGCCAGAGCGAGGTCAGCGAGGTCAAACGGGACATGGTCGCGATCAAGGTACTGTCGGTCTCCACGTTCAACGTTATCGAATCGCTTCCACGGCCCGAAATCTTGCTAATTAGAACCTCATACGCGACGAATTGCCGGTTGACTTTTTCTATCTATATATCTAGCCATGAAAGAATGAAAAAACAAAGATAAGATAAGACTGTGTCGAGAGAAAATGTAAAAATATTAATCGAGGTTGGTAACTTCCTGTTTGAAAGAAAGGAAAAAATCTGTCGTTCGTTTTGGTAATATATGCGCCAATATCTTCGTGAAAATAAAAAAATAAAAAAAATTTCGAAAAAAAATTGACGTTTTATTGTAATAACAAGCCGTTCTAACGTATCAACCTTAATCTATTTAGAATTATAAATTTTCGAGATATCTTGTTGTTAACCGCATTTCGAAATTTGGAATGAAACTTCCATTGTGAAATAATTCAAATTCGCGTAACTTTTAATCAAATATCGGTTTACATCTTGCATATAATAAAATTCTATAGTCTCTAAAATCATCGATATTTAGAACAAATAAGTAAATTAATAAAGCGGAATGATGAGTTAAAAAGTTTGAAAGAAATTATTTTGGATGAATGAAAAATAAAAAGAAATGCCGGTAATTATTTTTATTTTAATAATATATCGATTTCGGTAATTTGCCCGTATAATACAGTAATATAGTATTACCGGTATTAAGTTTTTGGTTAAAATGTTAAATTTTAACATTCTAAATAGTATTTCCTAATGTGTTACGCAGCACGAACTAGATACGGTACAGCAGGTGAAAGAAGAAATAGAGGAATTACGAGAATACGTGGATCGACTAGAAGAACATTCTCATCGACGGAAACTTAGACTTTTGGAGCAGGTGATGCTTGATCTCCACGATTAGAAAAGTTCTTAATTTTTTCAGCGTGCTATTTTATTTTTCGTAAAAGAAAGAAACTCGGTATCGCTTTCGATGGCTGTTTATTTGTACCAATTATCATCATAAATCAATATCATGATAAAATTAATTATCAAATCATCAATCAATATCATCAAGATCATCATCATCATAATTGTATTTAGTTTTTTGCGTGATGTTAACTATTACGATTGTTCTGTTTGGTTTTTTCATATGCATCTCGTTGTACTTGTGCACGATGATTTTATAGCAGAATGATGAAAGTATTTTTTAATAAATCATTATGACATTGTTTATGGCGTAGTTTTATTTCATCCTTTATCGTTATTTCAATCCAATTTGCCTTTGATTTTATTTTCAGTAGAATATACGTTTATTGATTATTTTATTTCAAGTACAAATTATTGTTTTGGATTTTTGTTGAATGAAATACTTTTTTTTTTTTTTTTTTTTTTTATAAACTTTTCGATTTTAAAAAAAAAAGTTTTTCCTTCAAAAAAAACCCAAAAAAAAAATTTGTATTTAAAAAAAAAAGTTTTTCCTTCAAAAAAAACCCAAAAAAAAAATTTGTATTTAAAAAAAAAAGTTTTTCCTTCAAAAAAAACCCAAAAAAAAAATTTGTATTTAAAAAAAAAAGTTTTTCCTTCAAAAAAAACCCAAAAAAAAAATTTGTATTTAAAAAAAAAAGTTTTTCCTTCAAAAAAAACCCAAAAAAAAAATTTGTATTTAAAAAAAAAAGTTTTTCCTTCAAAAAAAACCCAAAAAAAAAATTTGTATTTAAAAAAAAAAGTTTTTCCCCCGAAAAATACCAAAACTTTTTTTTTTTTTTTTTTTTTTTATAAACTTTCCGATATTCAATAACATACGTTCGATGATTTCAGGGGCTAACACTTTTCCTGTCGTATGCAATACTGGCAGCAGTTTTAGGAATGTTGCAGTTTGGATACAACACTGGGGTTATTAATGCGCCGGAAGTGGTATGTTCTTTTATTTTTTTTAAACAAATACGTTTACATATTTATATAAAAATTTCAACAATACAAAACAAATTTTTAGCTAGATTGTTTCATTTAAATGATTCGAAAATAATTCTTCATTTTAAATAATATAAAATAAAAGAATTTAATTTGCAATTGTATCTATATCCAATACACGATTTATTCATTTCAGAACATTGAAAATTTCATGAAAGATGTGTACAAGGATAGATATGGGGAGGACATTTCAGACGATTATGTGAAGAGGTTGTATTCCGTGGCCGTAAGCATATTTGCGATTGGTGGTATGCTAGGCGGTTTTAGCGGAGGGATAATTGCCAACAGATTTGGCAGGTTTGTACGAAAATGTTTCCATCCCATTTGCAAGTAATTTGGCTAGGGCTTCCTTGCGCGCCAGACAGTATTCATCGATATAGAGCGTATATAATATATTTATATATCGACATTAATCAAATGTGTGTGCATGCAATTAAATACATATCGTGATCAGGTAATCAGACGACTCGAGATCGATTGTTATATCACTCATTTTTCCTTTTCCTTTCTTTTCGTTCGCTGACAGAAAGGGGGGCTTACTGCTAAACAACGTGCTGGGCATCGTGGGGGGGTGCCTGATGGGTTTTACAAAGATGGCTCACTCGTATGAAATGTTATTCTTTGGACGGTTCATCATCGGTGTCAATTGTGGCTTAAACACCTCGTTGGTTCCCATGTACATATCGGAGATAGCACCACTGAACCTGAGAGGCGGCCTAGGCACGGTGAACCAGCTCGCTGTTACGGTGGGCCTCCTGGTCTCCCAGGTGCTGGGCATCGAGCAAATCCTTGGAACGGACGAGGGTTGGCCAGTTCTCTTATTACTAGCTATCTGCCCTGCCATTCTACAGTTATTGCTGCTTCCAGTTTGCCCCGAATCTCCAAGGTAGAAGCACAAATCGTATATAATAAATGTATCGAGAGAAATATCTTTCAAGTTATCTTCTTAAAGCTTTTCATTAGAAAATGTAAAATTTTGTATATGTTCTATTTTCACCAAGGATTACAGCTTCTCTCTTTTTTTTTTCTGCTTTGCTCTAGATATTTGCTCATTACTAAACAGTGGGAGGAGGAAGCCCGTAAAGCTTTGAGGAGGTTGAGAGCCAGTAACCAAGTGGAAGAAGATATCGAAGAAATGAGAGCCGAAGAACGAGCTCAACAAGCCGAGTCTAGAATATCGATGACAGAGCTCATATGTAGCCCAACTTTGAGAGCACCTCTTATCATCGGTGTGGTTATGCAACTTTCCCAACAGCTTTCAGGCATTAACGCTGTAAGTAGCGTACTCCATAAATTCCGTGTACATTGCCCACTTTATAATGAAACTTTGAATTGGACACGATGAACTTGCTCTCATTTAAATTTCGAAACGCGATTCATCCATTAAAAGTGATGTAATAGACTGTGAAATTGGTTTCTACGTGTGTTTCAGGTATTTTACTATTCGACAAATTTGTATACTAGTTCTGGTTTGACAGAGGAGAGTGCCAAGTTTGCAACCATTGGCATAGGTTCCATTATGGTTGTTATGACGTTAGTATCCATCCCTCTTATGGATAGGACAGGAAGACGTACATTGCACTTATACGGTCTTGGTGGCATGTTTATCTTTTCAATATTCATCACAATTTCTTTTCTCATAAAGGTAAGTTTAAATTTTTAAGACTTCTACTACTTCAATTATGCTACGTATTGTAATATCGATGTTATTATAACTAACAAGTAAACCTAACTATCATCTATCAAGATCCTCTATAATAATCACGTCAAAATAAAAAGTAATAGTATTTTAGTAGAATTATTATTAAATTATTCTCGTTAATCAAATAGAAAGTATTTTGTGATAGTAATCGAGTAGAAAATAATCGACTCTCGCTAAGAAAAGTAAAAGAGAAATAATTAATCACGAAGGAAGGTTGTTTTGCCGAACGTAGAAAGTTGATGAAAATCAAGAATCTCTCAGGACATTAAATTACGCCACAAAAAACGTGGATTGTATATAGCTGTCTCTCTTTGTGCTTTGTCACTTCATGCACCTTGGCGAAAGGTGTATCTAACACTTTGTTCACAGCTGGAGTGCAGCACTGCACCGACGACAGTGAGAATTATCACCACTTAACGTATATAAATATGCATTCGACATCTCATTTTAATTTCTCCCAATTATTCATGTAACTTGTAAGATCTATCCCGTCTCCTGCATGTTATTTTTCATTTGCATCTTTTAGAAAAAGAGATTATTAATATTCTATGTTTTGACTCGTCAATTTTTTGGTAAGAGATAATAAGAAACAAGAAAGATAATATCATTTTAATAATTTTATTGAATAATATAATTACTTACAAAGAACGAAGAACGTACTTTTCAAATTAAAGAATGAATATTTTTGAAAGATATTGATGTGTCAAAGTATCTAAATAAGATGCATGCAGTTTTATTTATTTGCTTAGGCTTTAATAATTGTGCTTTTTTTGAAACCTTGTCACCATCCTTGTCCCATCCCCTCCCTTTTTCATTAACGACCTCTTTCGTGACTGCCTGGAGGAGACATTTACTCCCTTTTTTATTAGTCTATATTCCGGCTCAAACCTGTCATCTTCTTGCGCATAATTGAATCAATGACAATCTTCTAATCT